AAGACCAGCCTTGCCAACATGGTGAAACCCTGTCTCTACTAAAAATACAAAAATTTGATGGTGGCGCATGCCTGTAATCCCAGATACTTGGGAGGCTGAGGCAGGAGAATTACTTGAACCTGGGAGGTGGAGGTTGCAGGGAGCCAAGATTGTACCACTGCACTCCAGCCTGAATGACAGAGTGAGACTCCATCTGAAAAAAAAAAAAAAAAAAGATTAATTTCTTTGTGCATCTCTTCAAACATTTATTTTCCCTTTATATCTCTTTGCCTGTTCCTATTCTTTGGTCTTTTGTTTTTTTTGAGATGGGGTCTCACTCTGTTGCCCAGGATGGAGTGCAGAGGCACAATCATGGCTCACTGCCACCCCCAGGCTCAAGTGATCTTCCTACCTTAGCCTCCAGAGTACCTGGGACTACAGACACATGCTAATTTATGTATATATTTTTTTGGAGAGATGAGGGTCTCACTATGTTGCCCAGTCTGGTCTCAAACTCTTAGGTTCAAGTGATCCTCCCTCCTTGGCCTCCCAAAGTGCTGGGACTACAGGCCTGAGCCACCATACCCAGCCTCTGCTCACCTTTCTGTAGGACTTGTTCATCTGTTTCTCTTATTGACTCATAAAAGCTCTAAGTCTTATTGACTTACATAGAGAGATATAAACATTTTCTCCAGTTTGTGATTTTTTTTCTTTTTTACAGTGCCATACAGATGCTTTTGGTTTTGACTTTGTAACCAGTTCAATCTACTGATGTTCTAGAAAGGTGCATATTTTCCTTTTAAAAAAAAAATGCTTCTAACATTTAAAAAAGTTTCCCTTTTATGTCACAGCCCTTAAGAAAAAGGAGGGGAAAGGACAGAATGAAGCAAAAGAGGAATGAGTGCTCTATTACATTCCTGAGATTCAAAGAGATTGATGAGGTTAATGATTCTCAAACTTTAGTTTACATAGAAATCACTTGGAGATCTTTGAAAATGCAGAATTTGAGTCAGTAGGTCCAAGACTGGGCTTGAGATTTTGCATGTCTAACAAGCTCCCAGGTGAGGTTGATGGTCCATGGGCCATACCTGGAGTAGCCAGGCTTTAAATCATAACAAGGGAAAGTACTGCTGTTTTCATGAATTATCCTAACAACACTTAAACTATTATATGTTTCGAAAACCCTCCTCTCTTTTTCCTTAATTAATTAGAGTTTTTTTTTTTTTTTTTTTTTTTTAGAAGGAGTCTTGATCTGTCACCCAGGCTGGAGTGCATGCAACCTCTGCCTCCCGGGTTCAAGAGATTCTCCTGTGTCAGCCTCCTGAGTAGCTGGGATTACAGATGCACTCCACCATGCCCAGCTAATTTTTTATTTTTATTTTTTGTATTTTTAGTAGAGATGTGGTTTCACCATGTTGGTCAGGCTGGTTTTAAACTCTTGACCTCATGATTTACCTACCTCGGCCTCCTGAAGTGCTGCAATTACAAGGCTGAGCCACCACACCTGTCCGAAAATTCTAACTTCTTGTTCTGGAAAGTAGGAGATGGCCTGGGCTCATTTTTTTAAAAAAAGAAAAAGAAAAAGAAGTCAGTTTTCGTGGAGTAACATCCCTCCTCCTCATGGCCTTTAGCGTACATGGCTAAAATTCTTAATGGCAAGTATGCAGGTATAAAATGCTCACTTCTTGAGGTCTTCTTGTAGGGCTGGGTAAAATGAAGTTGAGAGATTAATTGGCCTTTTGGGCAGAAATATTCCAGCCCCATCCTGGCTGTCTCCCCTCCCCAGCATTATAAAGCAGTTTATCTGTATTATTTTTTGAGAAAGTATAGCTATAGTCTAAACACATGCCCCAAAATAGTAACCTAATGGGTTCTGTGGAAAGCAACATAGTCTGGGCGAAGAAAAACAAGTCTTAGAATAGGACTCAGGAGAGCAGGATGCTTGTTCTGGCTTTAACACAGTTCCTTTGTATGTATCAAACTTTCTTGGCCTGGCTTCTCCAACTGTAGAATGGGGAAAAGAGTAGAGCCTTACTTCTCAAGGTTAATATCGGAATAGGAATAAAAAACAATTCTTGGAGGGGTTTCTGGACCTTCTCTGGTAGCAATGAGATCATGATCTGTTCCCTCCTCTTTTTTTTTTTTTTTTTGACAGAGTCTCACTCTGTCACCCAGGCTGGAGTGTAGTGGCATGATCTTGGCTCATGAACCTCCACCTCCCAAGTTCAAGCAATTCTTTTGCCTCAGCCTCCCAAGTAGCTGGGATTACAGGGGCCCGCTACCACATCTGGCTAGTTTTTTGTGTGTGTATATGTATATGTATTTTTTTTTTAACTACAGATGGGGCTTCACCATGTTGGCCAGGCTGGTCTCGTACTCCTGACCTCAAGTGATCCACCCACCTTAGCCTTCCAAAGTACTGGGATTACAGACATGAGCCACTGCACTCAGTCCGGTCACTGATCTGTTATAACTTGGCATATACTAACTTGGCTTTCCAATTTCCAAGCAAGATTCCACAGAGCTTTCTGTTAACTGCAAAATAAGTCATAGCAAAAGAGACTCTGGGTATTTTTGACATGCCCTAAAATCAAGAAGTTGCTTGAGTTATGTTCATACCTATATGGACTGGAGCTGTATATGGAAACAGGTCTCTATGTGAAAGGAAAGTGGTGGGCATAGATTTCTATTGGAGAGGAAAAGGTTAAATGTGCACCAAACTCAACTGGTGGGCATAGCAAGGGTAGCTTGGGACACGGATTGACACATTAGTAGAGGGAAAGGAAAACTGGCATTTACTGAGTGTGAATTACCTCACTTTCTTTCTAGTACTGGGAGATGGGAATTATTCCTAACTTTTTACAGGAACTTGGAGTCAGGGATTTGCCCAAATTTCACATCTAGAAAGGGTGGAGCTGAGTGAGAACTCAAAGCTTGATTGGCTCCACTCTTGGATCCCCAGCTCTCTATCTCCCAGCAAAACAGAAGTGTTTGGGGTGGAGGGGAAGGGAGGTAAGCTCCAATCTTGGGCAAGTCACTTCATTTCCATTTTTGTTTTTTTGAGACAGAGTCTTGCTGGGTAGCCCAGGCTGGAATGCAGTGGCATGATCTCGGCTCCCTGCAATCTCTGCCACCCAGGTTCAAGCAATTCTCCTGCCTCCCAAGTAACTGGGACTACAGGTGCATGCCACCACAGCCTGGCTAATTTTCCTATTTTTTTTTTTTTTTTTTTAAAACTAAAGACGGGGTTTCACCATGTTGGCCAATCTGGTCTTGAACTTCTGACCTCAAGTGATCTGCCCGCCTAAGCCTTCCAAAGTGCTGGGATTACAGGTGTGAGCCACCTCGCCCGGCCCACTTCACTGCTTTATGCCTCAGTTTCCCCACCTGTACCAGGGACAGCACCTCTCAGCGGATGGTGAGGCTGCGGCTGCTGCCCTGGGCTGGCCCACAGCGAATGCTTAATGCACAGGAAGTATTGCTTCCCCCTCCTCCACCCGCCAGACTCTCACATAATCTTGCAAGTTTGAAGAAACCCAGCCGTGCTAGCAACAGAAGGTAAAAACAGACACGCCTCTCTGCCTCCAGTCTCATCCCCATGACCTGAGGCGCTGCCCAGCTCGTCCCACTTATCAGCGTTTACCATGTCCTCAGAACAGGGCACCTGTGGCTCGTTCTACTTTTTTACCCCTCCTAGAATGGTGTGGAAAGAGGGCAGAGGGCAGGCTCTGGCGTCAGGCCTCTTTCTGAAACCACCTCCTGTTCCGCGCCTGTCCTTGGACCTCAGTTTCCCTATGTTTTATTGACGTAGTTGTTGCTAAGGCTTAGGGGACACGTACAGAGGCTAATACTGAATCACCAAACCATAGGCGCTCTGCGAGCAGGAGCTGGCTCGGATCCCAGCCTTCAGCCCTGTGATCTGCTCTCCACTCTCCGCCCGGAGTCTTTCTTGGCTGGGACAATAAACCTACTAACAGTATCAAGTCTGCATCAAGTGCTTCCTGGCGGGAGCCAGCACGGTGCTGGGCGCGCCCAGCCCCTCTGCCTTCATCTCTTAACGTGATCTCATGCCACCATCATCACACGCCCCTAGGCTCCTCCCGGGCCAACTCCAGCGACAGCGGAGTGCGTGTCACCTCCAGCTCTCCTCCCACAAAAATGCTGGCATTCTAGCCTCCAGCGCGCTTAGTTCACCCCATAAACTCAGCTAATGCTTACCACATGCTGAGCCTGCTGAGCGTCGGCACCCGTCCCTCACCCCCAGTCCCAGAGGCTCCCGAGCCCGCACTGGGAGACCCTCCCACTGGCCGACCCTGCCTCGATACCCGCCCACTCCACGGTGGGAAATCTGCGATGTGTCCCTCCCTCCACCCCTTTCACCCAGCCCCAGCCAAAAGTGACCTTGGACATCTCTACGACGCCATGTCCACTCCTCTAAACAGGAGGCCAGTTTGCACCCAATGGTGCCTTTGGTTGCCAGAAATTAAAAACCAGCTTGCGCGTGTTTGCAATTACGGTAGCTTGGCGCGTCACCCCCAAGCACCAAGCCCGCAAGTGGGAGCCGGGCGCCTCCTGGGGCGCTCTCCCTTCCACCCTCGGCCCGGGACTCCCGCACGATCTGCGCGTCCCGCCGCACCTGGGCCAGACCCACCCGGGCGCTCGCACCGCAACGGAGACGGGCGAGGAGGCGCTACCCACGCCCGCTCGCGCGCGCACGCCGGGCCCGTGAGCCCGCCTAGGGAGCGCGTGCCGAGACGGCATCGCCTGCAGTCCCCGCCGCGGGTCCCTAGGGGGCGCAGCTGGCGCGGGAAGGCGCTCGAGCCTGGCGCCGGGGAGGGCACGAAATTGCAGGCGGGCGGGCACCGCGAGTTTGAAAACAAGCGACGGCCTGGGAGGGCGGGCCCTGGGAGCGGGCACCGCCTCCCTCGGCCAATCAGCGGCGGTCGGGGGGCGCGGGCGGCGTGTGCGGCCGGGCTGTGAATGGGGAGCGGCGGCCGCGGCGGCGGAGGGCGAGAGCGGCGTGCGGGCGGGCGCACTTTCTCCTCAGCGCCGGGCGGGGGCGGCGGCGGCGGCGGCGGCGGCTCCTCAGCTCCTGCCGGACCCCTCGGAGCGATAACGGCGGGGCCGGGTGCTCCGACTGCGGCAGGCTCGGGACTGCGTGAGCGCCCAACGTGAATTTCCCCCGCTGACAACTTCTCGTCCGGCTTGTCCCCGGCCCGCGCCGCGCCCCTCACGCGGGGACCCGGGACGCCGCCCCTCAGCGCCAGGCTGCCGCTCACCTCGGGCCGGGGGCTGCCGCACCGCCCGAGGAGTGGCCGCGCCCGCCCGAAGCCGTCCCGCCTGTCCTGCCTGCCCGTCTGTCCGGCGCGGCGCTCGGGGTGGCGGCTGGTCGACATGGCCCGGGGCAGCCGGCCCTCGGCGGCCGGTGGTGGCGGCGGCGGCGGCGCGGAGCCCCCTGAGCGCGCGGGCCCTGGGCGGCCGCGGAGATCCTCGCCCGACCGTGTCCACCCCGCGCTGGCATCGCGCCTCGGCCCTGAGTCCCCGGGACCCCGCGCGGCGCCCGAGACCACCGGCCGGGACTCGGCGGGCGCAGGGCGGCGCGGCAGGCAGCTGGCGGCAAAGTTGGGGCCGGGGCGCTACGGCTGGTGGGCGCTACTGGCGCTGCAGCTGCACTTGCTCCGGGCGCTGGCGCAAGGTAGGTGCGCGCGGGGGGCGCGGACAGGGGGCGCCGCCTCCGGGCGCGGAGGCGCGAACTTGAGCCGTGCGAGTGTCCGGGGTCCCCTCGCCGCCGGGCCCGGGTCGGGATGAGCCTCGCTGGGGCTGCAGGGAGCCCTGGGGCTTCCTCTATGCCGGACTCGGAGGAGAGGGAAACTGATCCCTGTAGAGCCTGCACTCCGTCTGCTGCTTTGCATTTTATTTTATTTTTTACATCGCAGTAGCACTAACAAAAATTTTTAAAGTTGAGACCCATTTCTCCCCTCCTTAAAAGGATGCCTGAGTCCGTTCCCATTGCAAGAATAAAAAAGGGGCTGGTCTGTACCTGAATCTTTGTACCGCTGGGTCTGGTTCCCAGTGAGTGACATCCATAGGAGTTGCAAATATCAAGTGCCAGTCGCCGCGAAATGCCTTTTCTAGCTCCTCCGCGCGACCCCGTCCTCTCCACCCAGCCCCCGTTGGCTCCTGACTCCCCCAAGTCCCGCTGCCCGACTGCAAGTGGGTGCTGCGCGGCCGGTGGAGCAAAACTTTCAGTGCCCACAGCTTTTGCACTTGGCGTTGTTTTTCTCCCTCTGTTGGCTTCTGTTTAGAATACAGTGGTGAGCTCTGAAATGGGGAAAGAGGATCTGTTGTTTTCGAAATGACCTTTTGAAAAGGGAGATGGGATTTCTTGTGAAACGAGCTTTCCCTCCTAAATCTGGGCTTTCCTCCCGCCCCGGAAACCCGTAACATACCCCTGCCAATTAGCATCCTTTTCTTTTGAAGTTTGCTGGTCTTAAAACAAAGTAACACCCTCAACCCAGAAATAACTATTTTAATACACCCTTTGGTGAAGTCTTTAAAACACGTTAGTGAACCGGCTTTGCTGCTGGTGGCTTTAGGAAAATTAACTTTGTTCGTTATCTGTATCCTGCAATACAACTATCATGGTAAGGAACTTGGTACTCTGAGATTGACGAGGATGAGAGCGTTAAACTTAAATTAGCTGTGTTCTGTGTCATGTGAAGACAATTTATGTGTAGTAACATGACTTAAATGTAAAAACATTTTAAAGGTCTGAGCTCAAAACTATCATCCAATAGTTTAACAACCAACTCATACTTTTTATTAATGCTTATGTAACGTTATCTAAATTGTGCCCCACCGCCCCGCTCTAGCGTTCATAAATGCTTCCTCTTATGTTTTACTACATGAAAACAAATCGCTATATTTCTGGTTGATTTAACTCCTTCATTACTTGGGAAATTTTCATGTCACTTATTTGTGCTTTTGCTTAATGACTTACTCTGGAAGAAAAGCATTTATTAAGTCATTTTGTACAGTGGGATCTGTAGATTGCCAGAGAAACCAGGTTCAAGTGAATAAATCTAAATCACTTAGGATGACCTTTAAAATCAAAATGGTATTTATTAAGTTTTCTTTTTTTTTAAGCAGTGACTTGCATTTTGCAGTAAGACCTGTATGTTCATGCATTTGAAGATTCGTGCACAAATTGAAATGGTGGGGAAAAAAAATCTGCCAGTGGCTTTGTTTTGAAGTACCTTACATAATTTCAAGTTTTTATCAGTTGCACCTTGAAGGCCATGTAAAGCATTGCATTTTTTACAACTGAAATGTTAATGAGAAGACATTTAAAAAAATATACCAAGGCAACAACCAAACTTTGTTAGGGAAGAATATTTTATTCCTTTTTGGCAGTAAAAACATTGGTACCTGTTTTACATTTATATGGTTTATGAAAGTCTACAGTCTTTAAATGTAAAATTTCAAATAGGTTGTCACAAATTTTAAATTCATTGACAGGTTTCTGTTCTTTGTGCTCTGTGAAATGTGTAATATATCCATCATTTTTTATATCATATTGAAAATTCATATTACAGAGGAGATGTCACCATTTGACAAAAGCTCATGTATCTTGAAAATGAAAATTCTGGTGCTGTTAAAAGAGATTTCTGATGGGATGATGAGTTGGTCATATGCACAGGAATGTATTCTCTTGAATCTTATCAGATAAAATGTAACATTCTAAATGGAATAGTTACCACCAGGTTGGAAGCCTCTGAAGTACCATGTTATTACATTGTAGCTAGGTGAAGCTAGCTACAATGCATTTCTCTGCATTTCATGTGGATAGGTGTGGTCATGTATCTTTGAGGAAAAAATATATGCAACATTGATCAGTAAAAGTTACATTTTTAATAGCCTAAGTTACAGACCCTCTATGATGTGACCTGCCAGGTTCAGGTCTTCCAAATGTAACTTTAATCTGCCCTGGAGTTTCTTCTTTCTATGGTGAGAATTTCTGAGTTGTATACTCTGTTTATTGGTGGGTGTTTAATTGCTTGTGATTTTCCGGATTCCTAAAAAGTCAAGTCTCTAATTCTGGAAGGCAGGTGGCAACACATGCTTTCTTTATGCCGTCCACCAAAGAGCCAGCTGTGAGTGGTTTGGAAGGATGGTTTCTGAGGCTAAAGATGTGTAAGCATCATATGTGTGAAGTTCGTGGTGCCTTGGACCCTTGACAGGCTTACTGATTCTGGCAGTAGACCTCTTAGATCCAGCTTGCATTCAGAAGGCCTAGAGGGGATAGGAATGTTCTTGTCAATTTCTGCCATGGGGCTGTTCAGTTTCTCATTTGAAATTATCTCCACTTAGACACGTGGTTCTCAAGCTTTGGTATGTGTTAGAATCACCTGGGGAATTTTATGAAACTGTGGAGGACCTACTCTTCCTTTTCCATGAGCCACATTTGCTTTCCATGTGATTCTAATACACATTGGACCTTGAGAACTGCTCACTTATTACCTTATGATTTCCCCCATTCCAGACACCCAGTGAGTTCCTGGAAGCTCTCTAACCCCATTGTTTCTCAAACTTGGTTGCACGTTGGAATCACCTGGAGCTTTAAACAGTACTGATGCCTGGCTCTCACTCCCAGAATTGCTTTTAATGAACTTGAGGTTTGATCTGGGCATCAGAATGCTGAGACACCCCCTCCTCCCTCCAGGTGATTCTCATGTTTAGCCAAGTTTGAGAACTACATGACTTGATTTCCCTTTCACTTTTTCTTGGGCTTTTCCCTCCAAGTCCTCCCCCAACAATCCTAGTGACTTTTATGAAACTGGGCCTGTGTTCACTTATACCTGTTCCAGGTTCTTGATCTCAAACTCAACAGAGAACACCAGCTTTTCAGTTTGTATTGTTTATTCCTGTGAAACTGTTGAGCCCCTACTTTGTGCCGCCTGAGGTGTACATCGGAATCACTGGTGAAAATTTAAAATATAGTCATCTGGGCTCCCCCTCAGACCTGCTGGTTCTCAGAAACATGCATTTAAAAACATCACAAGTGATTCTTATATGTTTGTGTTACTCTTTTTCTTTTTTTAAAATCCTTGTGTTGGTTAATCCCACAATCTCAATTTCTGTCACGTTTAGCCTGATTTTCTGTGGTCTGGTTCACTTTTCTCAAACCAATTCTCAGCCTTCGACAGGGTCTACTAATTATGCTTTTTTGCCACTTGTTTGCTGGAGTGTTTGAGCTCACTACAAATCTAGCTTCCTTTTGGCCCATGTTGCTTTCCATTAATTCAGAAATGCTTTGCTTCCCCTCCTCCTAACCCTCCCTTTACAACTTTGTAATTTGAGTTTCAGCTGGAACTGGAGTTCTAGACTCCCATAATTGAGTAGCATCTTAATAAAGAGTCTTAGCTTAGAGAGTGCTCAGTTACTTAATTAGACCACTGTGTATTTAACAGACAACTGGTCTCTTGGTTGGTTACTGTCTTCTAAATCCAACAATAAGCAGTTATTACCCTCTGTGCAGCCTGCGTAGCCACCTGTAGCTGTCCTTCATTGAACCTTTAAGTGCCAAGCACTAAGTGCTCATTTATTCTTCACAGCAGCATCTGAGAGGTAGACAGTGTTTTTGTTCTCATCTCACCTATGAGAAAACTGAGGCACTGAGATGTTAACTAACTTGCCTGAGGTCCCAGGACTAGCAGTGGTGGTGCCAGAATGAAAAGGCTGATCCAGAGTCTGAACATAATTTGAGTTCATAACCACTGGGCTGGAGTGTTTTGCATGTAGCCTCTGCCTTTATAAGGAGAGGGATGAATGAGCAGCAATCAGATCTGTACCAAAGGGAAAATGGTGGTGATGTTTTCTAGATACAGTATTGAGTAATCTGATCTCAAGTTTTAGATTAACCTTATTTACAATTATGATTGCAAAATAAAAATTACTTAATTTGGAAAATAGAGAAGAATATATGTAACCCGTTCCATCTACCCATCTGTTTCCTCTAAGAAAATGAACATTACCATTTTGATGTATTCCCTTACCCCCAGTTTTTCTTTCACAACATAACATGAATTCTAGCTTCATGTGTTGTGATGGTCTGTTGGCAGAGATTAGACCACCATAGAATGGACTGCTGGGAGAGCACCAACCATTTCCTTGAGGAACATTTGGAAAATTCTTTTATCTGGACTCAAGTATATGAATTTGAGTCCTTTAAGGAGGTAGAGTTTGTAAGGTACTGATCTTTTGTTGCTGCAACACACATTTTATGTAAACAGTTAAGTTTAGATATATACTGGGGTTTATACCTAACCAGGAAGTTTCCTGGACCCTCATAGATTAAAGTAAAACAACTTGGGAGGCTGCAAGTTAAGTGGGTAATTAAGTGATACCAAGTAAGACTGTGTAGTTTAATTCTCTCTACCAGTTGCCTTTATGTTGTTTTCATCCTCAGATGGGAACCCCCAGCTTCACATCTCATCTCCAGGCTCCTCTGTTGTTTGTGTTGGGATACATAGGATGTGGTGTCTAAGGTGGCAGAGGTGTGTGGCCCCTAGTGTCTTTCTGCCTGCCAGCCTTGCAGTGTCCCAGAGATCAGAGACCAGTAATGTCAGCTGACTGAAACTAGAGCATAGAATGGACACAAAGTGAGGATTCTGATTAGGTCACTGCTTAAATTTC